GGAGGGCGGGCTGGGGAGCGGCCGCCGGCCGTGTGCATCGCCTTTCCCGGCGCCTCCGCTCCCCGCAGCTCGCGGGTTCTTTCTTGAAGCTGCTGGGGAGAAAGAGCAGGGAGCGGGGTTTGAACGCGAGAAGGCGACTGGAGGTACAGGATGCGAGCACCAGGTGTGGGCGGGTGCTGCCGGCGCCACCGCCTGGGGCTTCAGAGCGGCTTTCAAGGTGCGTGTGACACGCAGCGCGTCTGGGCCGGGGCTGCTTTAGGAAAGGACTGGAGCTCAGTCCACTGTGCCGGGCTAAGTGCCAGGTTGAGGAGCAGGGAAACGGCCTTGAGGGTGTGAGGAGAGATCTTCGCTTAGGTCCCACGGTCCAGAGGCCCGAGGCCTTGGGGAGCCTGGCTCCGGAGGAGCGGGGCTGGGGTCCTGCAGGGCCTCAGTTTCCTCCCTGTAAGATGAGAGGTCCTGGGGCCTCCCTGCAGCCCCCACTGTGCTCACCCCGCGGTCTCAGGAGGGGATCGACCCGGCTCGGCTGGAGAACAGGATAAACCGGTTTGGAGTCAGAACAGAGCCTTGCGGTCCACGGGAAAAGGACCCACCTCCTGTGGCCCCTCACTTGCAGCTCCCGTTACTGAGCCAGCTTCAGGGTCTGGGCTGGAATCCAGGGCTGGCACCTAGGCTCCGTCGGGTCGCTCGCAGTCTGACCGAAGAGGTCTGGTCCCGACTGGTTCCGGCTGGGCCCGGAGCTGGACCAGCCCCACCCCTCTCCCCACCAGCTCCGAGTGGCGCAGGGGCGCCGGTTTCCTTGCGGCTTCGTGGGCTCCGTGAGGCCCGGGCCGTTTCTGTGCAGGCTGAAGGGCGGCCGTGGGGGTCAGGGTTCAATGCGTGCAGTGCAGAGCCGGCTTGAAGAGGCGCAGGGAGAGAGAGGATCCGCCCACCCAACCCTCCCCAGCTTGGCCTGGACGGCCCTGATCCTCAGGGTGAAGGCGCTGGGGTGTTCTGGGGGAAGGGAGGAAGGTGGAAGAGGAGACCTGAGGGCGGGACAGGAGGAGCCTCGGGTGTCTCCTGGCCAGGCGCTCACTCTGGCCCCGGCTGGCCCTGGGTTTTCCAGCACAGAAGGGGAAGCTCCCCTCTCTGGAGGCCTCTCCGCGGCCAGGCCCCTGGGAGCCATGCAGGTGTGTGGGGCCTGGCGGGAGAGAAGCAAGAGAGCTCTGCAGCCCTGTGACTGGACCCGATGGGGACGCGGGGAAAGGGAACGAGGGGCCGGGAGACTCCGGACGGGCTGTGTGAGGGTGGCCTGGACCATGTCGAATGAGGAACGGGAAAGCCTTTATGCACCTATTACCGCTCAAAAGCAAGACAAAAACACCCCGAAACTCTTTACAATAATGGGAAAAACGAGCTGGCTTGGTGGTGCACACCTGCAATCCCAGCACTCAGCTGAGGCAGGAGGATGGCCAAGGTCAGCCTGAACTACATAGCAGGGCGCTGTCTCAGAAAACAAACAAAAATTTAAAAAATAAGTAAAATGAAGGGATAAATGCAGCAATAAAACCACACCAGAAGACAGATGATCAATTTCTTATAAAGTTAATGTGTGCTTAACATACAACCCAGCATTCCCTGTCTTATGTATTTATGCAAGAGGAATAAAAACAGGTCTACATCAAAACCTGGGTGCAAAAGTTTGCAGTTGCTTTATTCACAACTGCCCCGAACTGGAAGCAGCCTCACTGTCCTGCCAGTGCAGACTGGATGAACAAACCGTACGGCCTGTCCATATTGTGGGCTGCAAAAGAATAAAACACCCCTCCATGCTCAGGTGTCTGAGGCTGAATGGCAGAAGCCAAACTTAGACAGTTCAGCTCCGGTGAGTCTTTCCGTGGCCCTCTGGGAAGGGCAGAGAAGGAGCAGCAGCTGAAGGGGTTGGGGTGGGAGGCTCTGGTTACAAGGAGGCAGCACAGAGACTTTAGGGTGGTGGAAGTGTTGTTAGGCAGAAGAGCATGATGGGGGGGCGTGGAGCACGGAGGTGGGGCTGTCAGCAGCTGGAGTTTTGTGACTGGCAGCGGGGGCTGCAGGGAGTGAGGTACCTGGGATGATCAGGGATGGGGGCGGCTGTCCACGGGGGACAAGAAGACTGAGAAATGTCAAGGGACTCCTGCTTCTTGCTCAGGCCTCTGGGATTTTGGGTCTCTGTCTCCAGTGCCCCCCTCCTTCCTGCTCCTCGTCCTTGTTTTTTATGTATCTCTGAACTAGTCACACTCAGCAGTCAGTGAGCACGGTTAGTTGGCACACTTAGTTTGTGATGTAGAAGTTGTGGGAACTGAGTTTCTGATCGAGGTGATCTCCCTCTTTGCCCTCTTTGAATAGCAAGACCAAGTTTTCTGGGCAAAGGGCTGCAACAACCTCCTCCCCGTTTTTCTGTTCCTCTTTTTCTGAGCCAAGAGTGCACTTATCTCCTCCCCGATAGTTGCTTAGTTAGAGATATTACATGTGTTGCTGAGTACAGAGAGTTTGCCTAATTGTGTAATCATATAGGGTGTTCTTTGAAAACAAAGAACATAGTGCCCCCCCGCTGATCTCCTCGTGGGTATCAGGTATTTCCTGTTCCCATTCTCCTATTCCTGTAAGCATCCCAGTAATAACCATTAGTAATGAAAAGTTAAAAATAGCACCAGTAAAAAGAGAAAGCCTCCAACCTCTATATAATCAAGCCTTGAAAGAGGGTCAGGGCCTTCCGTTGGAAGCCGCTGTGACGGTGCCACTGGAGGTCCAGGCTCGAGTCTGCGGGCTGGAGCCTGCAATAAACTCCTCGTGTAATTACATCTGACTCGACTCCTTGGTGGTCTTTGGGGATATCGTGATCTGGGTACAACAAAGTGACTTCCCTACAACAGCGCTGATCGTTTCAATTCTGATTGCAATGCTATTCTTAAGGGTAAAGCAGTCTCCCGTCATCCTCTGGATTGCTTTTGTGCATACTGCTTTGGCAGTTCTAGTAACAGAGGAGTGCAGTCAGCCACCCGAGCTGCCTGACCTGTGGTCCTGGACACAACCTCCTCCCGGTGTCTTCTAGGGGTAGCCAGTGGCTTTGGCCCAGCTTCTCTGCCTGCTGCGGGCTCCCGTTTCTAAGTGGCAGCTGCGGGAAGGGGCTGCAGCAGCTGTTTACTTGTGGGCAGCTTTGTTTGGCTTTGGAGGGTGTTTGCTTGCAGTGGGCAAACAGCCTTACCAGAGCCACCTGGATAGTTCAGATGCTCTTGGGCAAGGCAGTAGGGTTGTGGTTCTGTGTTTAGAAGCCAAGTCAGGTAGTGACTTTTTCCAGAAGTGCTATCTATCTGCCAAGAGCTGGTCAAAGACAGCAGAGAGGCAAGGAGGAGGGGAGGGAGGAGAAATAGGAGGGAGAGAGTGAAGGGGAGGAGGAGGGG